CTTCCTAGCAGGGTTTTTCTCATTATTTAATGTATGTAGATAACTTGTAGCATAACGTAGATGGATATAGAGCAATGGATCAAATCACTGGGTGGCGATGGAAAAATATAGTAGGCATCCAATTGAAATCAACATGGTTAGAAAATTCACAATTTTTGGTACTCCCATAGTATGTGAACCAAGATGGCGGACACCGGAACGTAGTATGTGTATCAAGTTAAGTTTAGGCCATAATTTTATTTCAATTTTCCTTATTTTAGTTCTATTAGGATTTCGGGGACTAGCCAAGTGACTCCCGTAGTATTTGTACCTGAAATTATGGCCTATGGATCAGGAAAATTATGGGTGGACTCGGTAGCTTCATAGATTAACTTTATACATTGCTGATCATGTTAAAAACTTTGAAAATGCTTAATGATAATATCTAATTTATAGTTTTGAGTTTATTGTTTATTAAAACCGTATACAGATTAAAAAACAACCCGTCATGAAAATATTAAAATCCTCAACACATTTCCTGTTTAGCCGGGTATTTGGGATATGCCGTCGTGATCATAACCAATTTACATAACCAATGTTATAGAAAAATAACGTCATAATGCAAAGTAAGGATCAATCGTGATATTTATCAACAGTACAACTATAATCAAGAAAGAAATGAAAATATTATAAAAACAAAACCATTCACTTTTAATTTCAATCATAAATTGGCCTACACCACACAGCGTAAACTTTAGTGCGAAGGTTTTTGAAATGCAATTTTGCGTTTTATAGTGATATTAATCTATTACTGACACGGTGAAAGGCGTCGATTGAAAGTAAGTGTTTTTTCAAAATGCGTTATCGTCATTTATTTATTTATAGTTTATAGACTTCCTATATACGCCAAAATAAACTACTAAAATGTTATAGTTCAGCCCGTATCACGAAACAGAACAGATAGTTAGAGGATAAGGTGGTCAGATTTCATTTCATTATTTACTGCAATTTTGTATGTATATAAGTGTAAATACATGTCGCCTTTTGACAATTTTATCATGAACATCGACATTTTTTATGTTTTGAAAAACGATAATTATTGTTTTTGTGGAGTACATTCTTTTGAGCAAAACTATGCATATGACTATATATAAGTATTTCAGGTTTTTGAAGGTAAAATGGGGTTGGCAGACTATCGCGCGGCTCGCTTACTCAGTTACAACGCTGAGAAATTTGGCACGTACTGGAGTGCTGTGAAAGTTGGATGGGGTGTTAATAATAAAAAATTCATGACTTTTCACTCATATTATTGTGGGAAACCTCGTTATAATAAAGTAATTGAAAAGATACTCATTTGTAAATTAGTCATTATTAGATAATTGAGCTTGTGAAATATAATTATGAGCTCACAATTACTTATACATTAATCAATTATTAAGAAACTATGCATAAGCGGATTGTACGAGAACATCACCTCTTCACAATAGTTTACGGTGGATCGATGCTAAAAACATAAGCCTTGTTATTAGATTTTGATTATGAAAACCATAAGGAGATGCGTATCAGATAGGAGTATCTTGTCGAATATCGCTGAATCAGGCTTTTCAACGATTTCTAGTTAGTAGTACATTGGCATTGTCATTCGTGTCACTCGTGATCAGCATCTCACGCAGTTTTTGATATATATATATGATAAATTATGCTACCACGGAAAGGATTGAGTTTATAAATGACATTAGCACACTCAAGTTGACATTTTTCTTTTGTTTGTTTTGTTCAGTTGTGAAAGGGAGGAGAACGCATTGCTAAATGTTGAGATCAATAGAAAATTTTGTAGCATAACAAAAATATTTCTTTCTAATTAACATTCCTATAGTCATAGTCTGTAAATGAAGCTAAGAAAAAATTCATGTGCAGCTTTGTATTCCAATTTTGATTTTGATTATTTCTTCAGCAGTAGTAAAAAGGTTATAATCGATCGAATACTCAATGTATTTGACTATACCAATTGTGTATAGATTACACAAGATAGATTACAAAATAGGTCTTGCATTGCAGGTTTGTGTATAGATATTATTTTTACATTAACTTAAAGCAATACTAGTGTGTGCGATGGCCCAATAGTTGAAGTTTTGAATTTGACAAAAATTTTGGGTTGAAATCTCATATCCCTCACTTCACTCTGAGTTTATAAAATTGAGTAGACAATTTCGAATGTTTTCAAACTATATAAAGCCTTTACCTATAATTAACTGCTTATACACAGCTTTGTTCGGTTTGACTGAACAATAACCGTTAGATATTAGAAGTAAATAAATACGACGTTAGTAACACAAAAAAACTTGAAATGGTATTTGTAACAAACAGTTATTTTCAAAAAACTATTGTAATAAAATAAACATTGTTTTGGGTGAAATTTAAATATATAACCAAGAAATGCTGATATTTCTTCTTGATTGTTTGACGTTAGCAATGTTTTTGAGTTTTTAAGCCGAACTTCATGATTTATGAAACGTGATTTCTATATTGATATGATCGGCATCATTGAGAATTACGACAGAAAATTTGAATCGGTAGAAAAACATTTAATAATGATATTGAAACTGCGAATTGATTTTATCAAAATAATTTGTTATGAAAGTCAAAGATCATGTATAAGTATCGGAAGTTGTAGTGAATTTACTATGAAATGATTTCGAAGAAACATTTTGATTGTTATGTTTAATCTGATTGTTTGTAACTGTTTGAATGACTCATTGGAGAAAATAATCGTCATTTTACGTCAGTTTACGAAGAAATTTTGTAAGCATATTGGTTATATTTTGACAGCGCTAGCAAAAAGGGTTATAGTTATATATAACAAGCATATGTGGCACCATGTCCATTTGTGTCCAAGAGAGAAACAGACAGAGACGAAACTAGGAAGGAAGCTTATCAGTGGTATTAGAAAGTATCTCCTTAATTGTCCATTACGAGTTCTCAATTTATCTATGACTTATTTCGGCTAAAACGGTTTCTGACTCAAGCGGTCAAAATTTGCATTGTCGTATGGATTATTTGTACTAACTACTGCACCCTATGTCGATTTTCTGTTTTTAATTAGTTAATGCTCTGTTTTTGTTAACAGGAATAAAAACGCTTTTTGTGCCACCATATCGATTGAGTGCATTACTATGATCAAAATACACATGTAAATTTGTTTTTTTATCCTTTTTTAGTAGATACCATTAAACAATATTTATTTTGACTGTAACAAAATATTTTGCAATATTTAAAGAAATTTTGACGTGCGTTTAAAGACGTAAATTTTTTTCTATTTTTTATCAGAAGTTCTATTTTCATGAGATATCCGCATTTAAGTTACACGGTCATCAATATTTGACCAATTTGACGTAATTTCATTCATGATTGAGGTCAGGTTGGGTCACTCAAAATCAATGACAATTTCTAAAAATAATATGAAAATGCAATTTAGGAGAAAAAATACTTAAAATGGCATGATTGTACCATGATTGTAGGAAATTGAAGTGAAATTAACTTGAAACTAGGTGAACAGGAAAGAAAAAAATCAAAAATAACCTTGAAAAATCGGATTGAAAAACCTTGAAATATTCTTACTTTTGGTACTTTTTATTGATGTGTATACGTATAAATAAATAATTTTCACACATTATTTATATTTGAATACTCGATGCCGAGTGTTGCGGTCATGTGACATCATTCGTGTGTTTCGTTAATGTAAGAATATAGTTATCTTGACGAAATAGAAGAAATGTTGAAATAATACAATTATTTTTTAATATCAGAATCAATACTTTAGAATTTACTTTTGAATTTTTCACTGAAATATTTATGCCGATTGATCCATCTATTGTGGTTTGTATCTACGTCATCATCTTGATATTCGCACGTGTACCTATGACCTATAACGTTGATCAATGCTTGATCGAAAAACCAATTTATATATCTATATTATGGTCTGAGTTGTGTTGTAATATTGAATCGTAAATGCTAAGTTTCCTGTGTTTGGGTAAGTACCTTCAAATAGGAAAAATCATACCAAGATGGAGAATTTTTCAGAGACTGATTTGACTGATTGCAAATTAATCCCATTCTATCGATTGAACTAGAAGAGTCGTAGGCTTGTTAAAGAAATATTTAAGCCTTCAAAATGCGACAGAATAAAGATGATTGTTTTAATATTTAAATCTATGGACGAAAATAAAGTTTATTTTGGCTCTAGATTTGGATCTAGAAGTGTATATCAAGAGACACTACAAGGAGTGAAATGCACTTTTAGGAAAGGTATCACCTCGGCCTCTACTCCGTAGAAATATGATGTCATTTTTCTTTGTTTCATATCTGGACGTTGCGTTCCTGTATATTATCATAAATTTATTATTCACGTCATTGCGTTCCGAACTGTCCCGAGTGCAGACTTGTTCTTGTTAGTATGCGTCTGCTCGGTATTCTTCCATTTGTTCATGTGGGGAAACTGGACCGATTGCTTTGCAATTTTCAGTGGTTCAACATTGTTGTTGTTTTTCACCGTTAAGTTTTGTGTGATGACGTCTTTAAAGTTAAAAATTACACACCATGTGGCATTCCGCGATCACAATATAACCATCTGGGTATCAGCGAAACCGTGAGAGTTTGTTTCATAAGGTAGAGCAGAGCTACTCAACTGGCGGACCGCGGTCCGAATCCGGACCTTTCGAGTATTTGATTCGGACCGCACCTAATTCTTTATTTCGAATCATTAGCCCCACTTTTGAAGTTTTCTTTTATAAATGACTTTTATTGTTTTGAATATATATGAAAAGAACTATAACACCATAATATACAATCTCGATTAGCTGATATAATCATTAGCCGGTCGAGGAAGTGCGCGTTTGAGGATGCCGAAATATAATTTCTGCAAACACCGGACCCAAATAATTGTGAAGTTTTGAATGCGGATCTTCGGTAAAAATAGTAGCCCTGAGGTAGAGTGTAGAACTGTAGACTGTCAAAGATTTGATACTATTTGAGCTGCTCACTTGTTTTTATGACAAAAATCTCACGTTACATTATTTTTCTAGACGATGCATAGGTTGTTAGTACATGAACTAATCTTAATATGTATGGTTTTATTGATGCGTACAAGCTTATCACGCGAGGAGAACGTGACATCTCCATACGATGAAGTTACAAGATTGAACCAACCAGCAGATGTCGCTCGTGTTTCAAAATTTGTATCGTGTGAAGTTCTAAATCCATTAGTATTTAGAGAAAATTTCTCCGTACAAAGCAAATGTTGCCGTTCTCTATATAAAACATTCCAAAAAAGATGGCGTAATATTGATAACAAACTTAGTGAATGGTTGAATTTGCTGAAATTATGGAAATGCCCACAATTTCGAAAGGAATGCGATTCGCCAACATTTCCTTTCAATGATTTCACGAATACTTTATATAAACGATTCTGCAATCCTGAGAAATTTTATTCTGAATGCTCAAAAAAGTTATTTCCGAAAGAAATCGAAACTTCGGGATCGGGATCAGGAATGCCGTTTGAAACAGACGAAAGTCCTGTTCATAACAAAACCGATTTTCAATTGCTTCCTGCAAAATACACCGTCATAAAAGATCTGAAATTCGAAGAACTTTTCGAACCTTGCGTACAAGCATCATTAGTTGAAATTGGAGGAATGCCCAGACAAGAAAAATTTTTCGAGATAAAAGTTGGAGATCTTCCTTTCTGTGAAATTGTTTGGTGTGCACTTCCAGCTGAAGTGTTCCTGACTAAAAAAGTGTCGATTTCAATGTGTATGCCAATGCGGTAAGTATAGGTTACATAACATAATCAAATCTGGGGGCACAGTTCATTTCGAACATAGGCAACAATTATACTTTGTCTCATTGAACAGCCATTTCAATAGCATTTGTTTTGCGAAATATAGAAAAATAAAATATTACGACAATGTTAATATATAAAACTGTCTCTATAAAACTTAGAAAAAACTAATTTTTCTAAATTTTTTTTCCTGATTGTATCCAGTTTAATTTTTTTTTATTTTCTATACAGATGCAAAGTAAACATGTACGTGTTTATGTCGTTTGCGGGACTTTTAGGGTTAGCAATCATTTGTACCAATATCACTGTACTCGTCGTCTTTTCTGTGAAGAAGCATTCAATGAATAGCCAGAGATTATACAAAATATCATTAGCAGTCGCTGATTTACTGGTTGGTCTAGTCGTGCTTCCAACAATGATCACCACGATACACGAAAGCTTCAATTTTCACCATGAAGTGATTGATACTGTTGATAAATACGGAAGGAATATCACAACAATAACAGATGTGTTATCATCCTATGAGTTTCTAGGAATCTCAGGATTCTTCACAACGCTTTCCTTGTCTGTCTCGATTTACACACTCATGGTTGCCAGTTTTGATCGACTTATGGTTGTATATAAACCTCTTGAATACAACAAGTTTCGTGCCATATCAATTGCAAAGATTCTTATAGCTATTGTCTGGATATTGTGTTTGATTTTCTCTCTCCTACCGTTTGCTGTTGATGGCCTGTTCTATGCATTCGTTGCATCTGTTGTTGTATCACTAGGTGGAGGATCAGCTTTAATTTTATATTCCGTAGTCATGGTGATTCCCCTGTTAATAGTATGGGGAACGAACATCGCGACCTTGTCATTATTCAAACGAAACGCCGGAAATGCTCGGATGGCAGCATCTAACGCCCAAACAAACCAAAATAAAACTGAGAACCAGCTTGTGAAAACTTTATCTATTATGGTCGGTGTTTTTACTTTTTGTCTCATACCATTGGTGCTTCTTACAATCTCGCAGTTCTTCGTAAGCGGGATTTATCTGAATGATCCGAAAAACTTCAACCAAAGTTCGTCGTCAATTATGATGTCATTCGAAGCTGTCACTGTACTTATACTAATGTCAAATAGTTTATGGAATATTTTCATTTACAATGGAAGAAGCCCCGAATTCAGATCGATGAGTAGAGAACTCCTCAGAAGTATTACCGGTAAAATTCAGCAACAATTTTCTTGCAACAAGTTACATCGTAATCAAGAAAAAGGTGTAATGAAACATACAGACTCGACCTCTAATGTCAGAACAACATCTTCAGGTGTTTCAAGTTCAATAAATTCAATTACTACTGCAGCCTAAATGATGGAAGCCATCCGTATTTTTCAAATATTTCATAATTTTGAACAATCGTTACCAGTGGAGCCGTGGTTTGGCATCTTACTCCAAGAAAAGGTCGTGTTTTGAGTTTATTGGAAAAGGGAGTCAAGGTTGGATTTTTGAACTTTTCGGAATAAGGAACCGACAGTAGCATGGTCGGTTAATCGGGAGTCAGAGAAGATCTTTTTGAGTAAAAACAAAAAACTTGATTCTGTCCTAATTTGCTTTACTTCGGACCCCGGTCTTTCTAAAGTTTTTAGAAAGATTGTCACGAATACATAAAAAGACGTGCTGGTGTTGTAATAATTCAACAATTCTTTTTATTTTGGTTATCTTTAGTTTGTCACATTTAAATTTTAAACTTTATTTAAAAATTTGTTGAAACGTTTTATTTTTTAGTGTTGTTCATATATAGGTAACATAACTAGTTGTCAACTCAGCATAAACGTATAGTTTGATATTTTTTATTTCGTAGCCTAAAAATTACTTTGAATGACATCACAAATTCCAAGCAGTTTTTTCATTGGTACTCCTCCTATTATGGGCTCGGAACCTTGCTATAAGCAGCCTTATAACAAGTTGAATTTGTAGATTTATAGAACAGTATATTTGTTATTTAAAAATCCTTGATGAATTGAACCGCACTCATTATACTACAATAATATGTAGTATAATAATACCAAATATGTGGCAGCATATCAAATAGTGATTTACCATGAAACCTCAATGTTACGCAATTTTTGTTTTCATTGGTGTAATCACAATTCTATCATTAACAGATTATAATTATATATATATTTCTGCGGAGTGTTTGTATGCAAATTAGATTTTATTTATAAAAGAAACAAATATTGTTGAAACAAACTACTTGAATCGAGCTGTCTGGATTAAATTGTTTCTATTTTATTTATAAACTTATATCTTCACTGTCTGCATGCTTTACCTTGTTAAACGTTTATGTATACTAATATATATAAATCTTGGTGTATTTAAAGAAAATATCTTGAGTATTGAACCTTCACGAATAGTCTAGTGAAGAATATGAATTAAAGACATTTTATAGGCATGCTACATTTAGGTCTAGATGTCTTATTAATTGTTTATATTATTATGAGATGGAAATTTCTTGAATTTTCCAAATCTCTTAACAGTAATGAAAACATGTAAATGTTTGAAAATAAATATTATTGAGCGTCTTTTAGTGAGTTTACTTTCTGTCCAACCAGTCCTAAAATAGTACGATTTTTCTTATGGTGAATGGAATGAATATAATTTGCATATAATTATTGTCAGTAAGCGTTTCGTGCACACAAAATATATATGTTGAAACCGCATGCATTGAAACACATTTTAGATTTGCTACCAAATGAAATGGGAATATATATATATAAATGATTCTGCAAAATAAATAAAATATTTTATTTGATCAATTTTGTATTTTTCAAGGACGCAAAATGCGATGTTTCACTAAGGTGGATTTTTATATTTCATTCTAGTTTTTACGCTTATTACCTAACTCCTTACGCTCCGAACAAGGTAATAAACAAGCAGCCGCCGATTTCTAACGATATGTAGGAATTTTGTCGTTTTTCAGTAATTTCATCAAATGCCAGTTAACATTTTATAGTCAAGTCGAAAAAAAAATATATATATATACATACGTTGCGTCTTGTTTTAAGATGCCCAGTGATGAAAGTTTGTTGACCGCTTCAAAATGATTTTATGTTCCCCAATGCTCTCACTTCTGAACCAACATATTGGTTCAAAAACGACCATCATCTATTATCATTAACTGAAACGAACGTCAATACTTCCGATAACTGGGATTTATTCAATATGAATAAATTAAAAACAGACCAAGTAACACATATGAAAACAAAAAGTCAACAAATAAACGAAGTCAGGACTAAAGATATGTATAATTTCGATAAAAAATGAGCTTTTGAGTTTTTATCTTCATGTTGATATGTCAAAATTTGAAAAATACCATGTTACCGCTACGCTGATCACAATAGGTTATGGAAAGAAAATGTGTATAAAAGTGAAAAATACTGCAATACTGAAAACAATGTAGGCCTAAACGTTATGCAAAATAATATAATATTAAAACACACCTTAAAGAAATAAATCGCATTGCAATGAAAAAAAGCAGTTCTGTAAGTTGCATTTTTCACAACTGTACACCTGAAGACACTAATTTTTGTACCAAATAAAAAATAATACGGCCAGATTGACAAATACAAGCAAATTAGTAAAATATTTCAACATTAATTTTACGTTCAACTAATTAACTTCTAATCCTTATGCTTATTATATTCATTTTGCTTCATTCAATTTAGGATTTATTGAAAGAGTTCCGTTATTATTTGAACTCACTGTAATGTGAGAAGCGTTTGAAATTGCTGCAGAAGTTCGCCTATCTCTTGCTGCCTTCGCTGAACTTCTCATTAATTTAGATTTAAGTTTACTTTTTGTGATATTAAACAATTTTGTACAAGCGCTACGAAATTCTTTACTTCTTATGTTATAAATAAAAAAGTTCAACAAGCTGTTTGAAATAAAAAGAATACAAAATATGATTTCTAAAGAAGTTACAAGAGTAAGAGTGTTTATGTTTAACTCGGCGGGATAAAATGTGTCGATTTCGGTGAGAACAAAATGTAGTCCTATCACAACAGACATTGGTAGAAGACAGACTAAGTAAGCGACTACCATGATGGATAAAGTTTTGGCAAGTCGGTTTTCAACACTAATCGATCTCACTTTGGCGCCAGAAGATATCACCTTTGGTCTAGCCTTCGCGTTCTTTTTGGAAAACACATAAGTGGCGACGTGAGTGACTAACATACAAAATATCGGTATGACAAATGCAATTGCTAAGATTATCATTTCACCGTCCCCAGATATAAAGACAAAAAGAGCAGCGATAAACCTGTACTCAAAATTAGGCAATACAATAGGGATTAGTGAAAACATGAGGGCCAGAACCCATACTGCTATTGATATCTTTATGGCCAGAGATTTTGCTGTGTATAAGTTGTATCGTAACGGTCGGAAAACGACCATAAATCGATCGAAACTTGCCATCACTAATATGTATACGGAGACAGAGTTAGACCAAGTTGAAAAGAATCCGATAAAATTGAAATATCTGGAGTTAAAACTTCCAATATCCATCTTCGGTGACATACCGTCGTCTGTTTCTCGATGATGTAACAGCATGGACGGCATATAAGCTCGTTTCATTGTCTCTATAACAGTCGGGAAAACGAAAATTCCGATTAAGAGATCGGCAACTGCAAGAGAAATTTTGTAAATTCCTTGACTGTCTCTAAGTTTTTTGTTTTTCCAAAATACAATTAGGGCGATGGTGTTGGTTAAGGTACTTGCTACACTCAGTAATCCAGCAACAACCATCAGTATGATAATGTTTGCTCGGCATCTGTCAAAAAATAAATATCATAAAATATGACATTCAAGAACATTTTATCAATATAAATACACAAGAATGAATGAATACATTACTTCGGCATCGCGTTATAAGATGGTATTATTAATTCGTTTCAAATCATCTGTTACATGAGATGCTTCATAATTGATTCGAATATAACTCTATAGAACTCGTTTGAAATTTATTTCTATATATAAATTCAAGATTTAATTTTCGGACACGAAATGGGATGACATTTGTTGTTGTCGTTTTCAGTACTTAAAAAAGTTTGAAGCCCCTAGAAACCTATTGCTTTTTTTAAAATTTTCTTTTTTATCTTATGCGTTTTTTTTATGTTATATATAGCTAAAAAGTTAGACCAAATGAATCTAAATATCTTCAAGCACTCACCTAGCAGGCATGCATATCCATTCCGAAATATCATATCTCTTGAATGCATCAGATGTGAACCCGCACCAAACAATTCCACACATAGGAGCTTGAGTTTCTTTCACTTCAAAATATCCCGCACAACTGTTGACATTAACCAACGCTGCTTGAACGCAAGTCATTAACATTTCATCCAAGGTAAGGGTTGTTTGCTTAATCTGCTTCAGTAACGTTACTGTGGTGTCTCCGTTCGCAAGATCGGTGATATTTCCCGGATCAGTATGGTTTATATTAACAGATCCTCCGTGTTTTAACAAAATTTCTGTAAGTGTGTTTTCACATTTGTCCATGAATTGAGATTCATTACAAAACCGATCATACGTGAGGCTATTGAATTCCGTGAAGGCATAAGTTCTTGCATCACATTCATTGTTAAATTGAGAGCATTGTAGATCACGCAAAGCCCTCAAGAAGTCACTTAAATGCACCAGTACCCCCGTCCATGCTTGTCGGAAGGAGATATCAATTTCATTACAGCAAAATCTCCGATCTTCGTCGTTAGTGATAGTCGTAAAATTCATATCGTGAGAGCAGTTCAGTCTTTCCCTTTGAAGTTTGATCGAACCATTTTGTACCCCGTTGTAAAACGCCGCAATGTGACTTGATAATTCTCTTTCAGGGTTGAACATTTTCTTAATGTAATCATTTTTTGGAGTCGGTTTAATTTCCTCACCTACGCAGAAACCAACTAGGATAAAGCCGCAACAGAACATTCGCAATAGATCGAACTCCATCTTTACCGGCATAACACACTAAACTGTAAATAATATGACAACGTAATTAGAGCAAAACTTCTCAGACAATTCTGTTCTAAATTTGACACAAAGAAAGAAATGTTTTTCAAAGAAATCTCAAGACATGAAAGGCCTAATTTTAACAGCAATTCCAAGATTTTCGTTGTACAAAATGCTAAACGTAGACTAAATATGACTTACAATTATATCATGTCATGATTTTCTCAGCATAGCATACGTCATGTGATTGCAAAATTTGATAGATGCTTGTTTATAGAACATATGTATCAATCGTTCAACGATCTGGTCTCGCTTATCACGCAAGTCAGATGAAATCACGAATAAAATACGTATAGGTATAAGTTGAATTGGAACGATATCCCACAAGTTAAACTTCAAATCGCTCCATGAGCTAAAATACGTATAGGTATAAGTTGAATTGGAACGATATCCCACAAGTTAAACTTCAAATCGCTCCATGAGCCTGGACTTCTAGGTTAAAACACTGCTCTGAAGTGCACGGACGACATTTTGTAATATATCATACCCCTTTAAAAAAACGTTGAAAAGTTATTTTTTGTAAAAATAAATAGCTGTCTGTCAAATTTTCTGTTTTTCTGGTCATATACCCGTCTAAATTATTGTTCCTTGTCAGATCACATACTACCTCAGTGTTGTAAGTAATCGAGTATACTTCATAAACTGGTGAGATACTGCATGCCTATCCATAAAAAGTTAATTTTGAGCACATATTAAACGACTGTATTCACTTTTTTATTAGCTGCATCTTGTTATATCTGCAGCAGAAACAATAAACTTAGCAATTGTTGAATTGAGAGCTTACAGTGAACTAAAGTTCGACCCCGTATTCAAATCTATTTTTAAAACTAATATGCAAAGTCGTGAATTCAACACATGACGCCGATAACAAAAACAAAATTGAAATATTCGCGTGGTATTACTCGCCACAGTTGACTACATGAACTGTGGCAGTACTGACATTGCACGAAAAGAGGTACTCCCGAAGAATGTGAACCAAGATGGCGGACACCGGAACGTAGTATGTGTACCAGGTTAGGGTTAGGCCATAATTTTATTGAGTATTTGTACCTGAAATTATGGCCTAACCTGGTACACATACTACGTTCCGGTGTCCGCCATTTTGGTTCACATACTTCGGGAGTACCCGAGAAAAATACATATAATAATCGCACAACAAATTTGTATTATATATATATGTGTGTCTCAGAATATCAAGTTTCGGATTGAAATTGCATATTTATATTTTTTTCTATTTGTAGAATGCTTCACCTTATTTTCTAAAAAATGTTCCCACTCAAATTAAATTCGACCATTCTACTTTCATTTTACCTTCTTTACTCCACATAAATGCGTTAGATGAGAAATAATTCGAATACTTTAAAATAGACAAAGTAACTTAAAATTCTTTTTATACTCGAACTTGAAGCCAGCCCGAAAAACGTTTAATTGACACTGTCAATAACGAATCTTGTTTTTATAACTCAAACAGTAATGGACTTTCAAATATAAAATACCATATGGACTATAAATAAATAATTTAGTCATATTCATGGAAAGCAAAACAATTTTTTTTTGTAATCAAACAGCCCAAATGATCTGAATTTAAATAAAACCACTCATATATATAGGGTATTTAATAGTATCGACCACCTCACCATATTTGTGAATTTTGATAGGTATATTCTTAAAAGATTCCTATCATTCCCAACTCTTCAGCTACTCACAAAGTATTCTGATAAAAAAAAACTTCACAAAGAGATTCGTACATCTGTGTATAAACGTTGACGTTCAACAAATTAGCCTAACAACTCTAATGTTAATTAATTAAATCTCAATATATTCTCGAAATAGCTGCTACGTTATCTTTAATTCAGTTTAGTTTGAGATTACTCGCTATTCTAAAAGAAAATTTCGTGCGAAACTTGAATTTTCAAATGAGCAATGCAATTTTCACTTGGAATATTGGAATCAACATTACGAACAGGACGTAAATTTATTGTCGAAACTTCTTGCCATCATTACGGATAAAACCCTTAACTTTCTAGAAACACATTACTAATAAAAAGGAGATCTTCTGAATTGTGTTTTTTTTTGCGCGATGTTTTTGTGTAAACAGATCTTACGTAATATATAGGTATCGTGGGGGAAAAAACTTCACTGAATGTCGGACAAAATGTTCTATATTTAGATTCAAAATTTCGTTTGAGGATAGCCGACGAAACGCATATAAAGTTAGTTAAAATCACATACATTTCAAAGAAATATAATCCATATAAAATTACTAAGTAATTCATAGTTCTAGTAGAAAAAGAATTTTAGACAAAAAATAACGAATGGACTGCCCATAAATTAGTTAATGAACTTATGCACATATATTCATATGTTATCAGTTAAGTTAGAGAAGGCAAAATTTACTATATTTTTTCAAAAGCGTATTTTCCGTTTGAAATTGCATACAATAACTCGATGTAAGTTTTGGGGATCAAAGCCAAGATAAACTGAGCAACTGATATGATCTCCCACAATAAATCGGGGTATCGAATGTGGGCAATAAAATTTCGCTTTGTCATTTGATATTATAGGCTATTTTGAAATGGATTGTTGCAATTATATTAAAGAAATATATTTTTTTAAAACGTTGCCACCTAACCATCACCGCTGGCTAGAATTATTGTTGCGAGACTGATATATATTATAGAATCATGGGCTCGCATGATGAAACATGGATGGCTTATTCACATCGTAAAAATGAAATTTTGGCCTTTTATACTCCAACATTACATTAGAAACTGTAAATGGTGGTTTTCTACCCTTGGAACCTCTTATTTTTCTACAAGTATAATAAGTACGTATACGAGAAAGACATATTACGATTATCTATAAATAAAATACAGTTTCGTTTTTATTCTGTATAATGGAACTTTCCAAGTATGGAAACGAAACTATTTAGTCACAAAAGTTATAAATATTTGAACACCACACCGGGAGAAAAATATTGACTCAGAGTATGAAATTTAAACTATCTTGAACCTGATCTCGAAGGTGTGATTTATAGAATCTTAGTTGATTCCAGCGTTGAACTGGAGACAAAATTAAACAGACCAACAACAGTTGGCCACCCGTGAATGACGCGACTCATATCAGTATCTGAATAGAAATACTTTTGTACCTGCATGCACTCCTTCTTGGTGAATAAGGTAACAATTACAACTCAAACAGAAATATTTCTATTTATTCATTAGTTGATATAAGTCGCAATTTCACATTTAATTTTTACGAGTAAACCCAACTCGGGTTTTACGGTTACAATGAATTTTTGGTATAAGTCGAGGCTTTGAGTACGCAAGTAAAATAAATGCTAAGCGATCACAAGGAAGCAATTGTCATTTAATACACAACTCAACTGTACTATAATGTAATCCGATGAAGAATACTGGTAGCTAGAGCTACATTCCATTTTTGCTTTATATGAATCGTCTTTATAGTTCGCCCTTTAAATGCTGGGAAGTTTTGTGTCTAACATTAACAGCACATTTAAGCATTGATCAAACATAAACAGGAATGATTTTCAGGTTGCAAAATGTTTTGTATTTTTTGTACAAGGATTTGATGTGTTATTGTCGATATGACGTCAAAAATCGCAGAGGCAGCACATTTCTCCCATTATTTTCGTAAGCTGATACTCACACTGCGCTATATTCATCTGTATACATCATATATTATTGAGAACAAATTTTTTTCACACTAAAATGTTTATACCCCTCCAATATCGCTTCGTTTGTGCTCTTACTTTCGAACAATGTTCATTAACAACAATAATCATCCACCTAGGCTGGTTATCGGTGTACGACGAAACATATTTGCAGACTTATTATAAACATTGAAGCTATTATAACTCGTTTTTAATCAAATAATGTTACGTAATATAGTAAAATCTCTTAATTTTACTACTACCATATCTCCAAAATAACGCAGAACACGGGATAATGTGTCTGAAAGAAAATTACAGCGAATATGTTATTTGTACAATTGGCGGAAAACCGACCACTTGTTAATTACCACCTTAAGGCTATCAAATTGTTTAAATGTACATTCAAGACAAAAATTATACCTAATTTATGATTTCCTGGATAGTTGCACTTGATGTTTACATAAAACGTGTCGAAAAATTTAAAAATAGGTAATGATTGGTGTTATGTTCATTGGCGACTTTTTCACTTTCGGGTAGTTATGCTGAGACACCTGATCATTAATCAATTTAGTAACAAACGTATTCAAAAGTAGAATTTGGTATTTTAGATTTACAGTATTCTAATCTGAACTCATGGCACGTATAGTTGGAGATGAGTTCGTCATATTTAGACCTGATTTCAACACGAATCAAAACAGCAGTATTTGACCTGAATTAAGAGGGCCCTGCTTCAAAACCGATATTATATGCAGACAAACACTTAAACGCTATACAGTTAAATGGTGCTTCGTGAAATATACTCGTTCATCGACTCAAGCAGCCATATGCAATACAAGCAGTATTTCTGTTCGGAAAAAATAATTTTGGTCGACACGGATGGTTTTAAGCGAAGCGCCGGAAATTGTTCAGGGATCAATTTGCGAATTGCTACTTTTAGGCGTGCGAGCTAATGAAATGTAGGCTATATAATAAGCGGGAAATAGGCTGAAATTATGCAAAATATTCTAAGCGAAAGCGTAGCTTTTAACCTGAAGAGTTGATGACCTGTGAGTAATCGCAAATACATTATCCGAACACATTGTTATAAGTCCGTGTGCAAGAGGAAACCACGGGTTTATTTCAATTTTATCATAAATATTAAAAAACATAATCCTGTCGATAAATTACCTGTCTATGACATTGCGAGCTAGTGAAATCTCATTCTTTAGAAATTAGATAATCTGTGTGAAACTATCATCCACAGCTTTAATATGCCGTTGAGTTCTATTTTTCTCAATCTTCGAAATATCCTAATATGCTATCCATCATGAAAAACATTCACTATTGCTGAAAACGACTAACGAACTATCGGGCGACCTATAATCTATAGACATAGTATGACGGATTGACAAATATGCAACAATTCCTACTCTTTCCGAAACCTAAGTTAACACTGCACTGAGATATCCTCCCAAAACCGATTAACCCATAAACCTATTCACGAATTTTTTAAAGACGGTTATATATCACAGCCATAATTACGGATATTGCACTATTTCTTCGGCTAAAAGAAGTAAACTGTATGATGTGCTCACTGCATACAGTCGAGACATATATATGCGTAGGTAAA